ATCAGGTCTCTGCTTTTTGCAGGTTTGCTTCATCAGAACAGGATCTCCAGCTTTCGCTGGAGTGGTTTGAGGCCAAGTGGGATGCAGCTGGGATGAGAATCAGCTCCTCTAAATCCAAGACTATGGTTGTGAGTCAGAAATGGGTAGAATACCTTTTCCAGGTTAGGGATGAAGTCCTACCTCAGTTGGAGGAGTTTAAGTGTCTTGGAATGTTGTTCATGAGTGAGAGAAAGATGGAGCGAGAGAATGATAGGCAGATTTATGCTGTGTCTGCAGTGCTGCAGGCATTATACCACTCTGTTGTGGTGAAGAGAGAGCTGAGCAGGAAGGCAAAGCTCTTGATGAAATGAGTTTTCTCCGCAGGGTGGATGGGCTCTCCCTCAGAGGTAGGATGAGAAGCTTGTCATCCAGAAGGAGCTTGCAGTAGATGCACTGCTCCTCCACATCGAGAGAAGCCAGTTGAGGTGGCTCGGGCATCTGGATTACCCCGGAGGAGCTGGCTGAAGTGGCTGGGGAGAAGGAAGCCTGGGCCTGCTTACCCCTGTGACCCCCACCTGAGACGGATGGATGGATATTTATAAAAACTAGACCTACAGCCATCACATCTCTTTTCCATCACACCTATTTTGACGGTGAAATTACACGCTCACCATGTCCCTAAACCAAAACAAAAAGGCCATCCTGAGCATACCATCACATCTACAATAGCCCATTTCACAAAACACGCCACAAACTGTCTTGACGTGTTCTCTAAATACACAAACTAATTAAGTCATGTGCCCTGGCCATAATTCCTCACAAAAGTGATGTTTTTAGCAAATCCACGTGATTCTAGTTGAAAATTTGCATAGTTTTTTGTAATTTGTTGTGTGGTGAGCTCTTGGCTAAAAGAAATGGCTTAAAGCCATGGTAACAGCTACATCATTGAAGCAATTTGCTATCAATAAATAAATGAAACAACATTTGATCACAAGAGATTAAACAGAATAATGTGTACATTTTCATTTCTCTTGTTAGTTCTTGGATGGTCTCGCTACTTGATGTAAAGATGAGTCCTACCTAATGTGCATTTGCCTCGCCAGTGTAAAGTTACCCATAACTCTTTACATGCATGTTTTTTTTACTGCAGATGTAACAAATGTGGCAATGGTGCACAGCAGAGATTTGTTAAGTCAAGCCAGTCACATCACATGTCCATCCAAAGGCAGGGCTCCTGAGCATTAAACCATCAAAATGTTAGCGAGAGCGGGTAATTTAGAAAGGAAAACTACACCACTGAGTCCTTCTACTGGCATCACATAAACAGTTTAAACTCTTTGTGACAGTTGATACAAAACAGACTAAAAGACAAACTTTGAGATTAAAGTAGTATTGAAAGTGTTCATTTAAATGACCACATTAAATAGTAAAATTGGGCCAGTGATGCAGTCAGATCCACCTCTGCATCCTTCAAAAACAGATTTTCCATTCAGTCACCGCTGAATAACCAGGCAGTGTAAATGTTTATTTTATTCCTGGTTAACCCAAATATTGGCAGGCTCATTTCCTTACTGCTAATTACTGGATTGGTCATAAAGTGGTTTGTGCATAGCCCAGAAAAATACACTCAGCGTTTGATGCACAGATCCAGCATTAAAGTCCTAAAATCATTTATGATGAACATTTATAGTTTCAAGCAGTGTGTCAGATATAATAAAGCTTGTTAACTCAAATGTGTGCTTCATTTGCAGATATAAGACAAATTAAAACATGGGCATATTTTTGTTGTGTATATGTGGGACAGTGGTGGCATAGGAGTTAAGTGCCTGTCTCATAAGCGGAAGGTTGTGGGATCGAGTCCCATTCAGTCTGTTACAGTCGTTGTGTCCTTGGGCAAGACATTTAACCTACCTTGCCAGCTGGTGGTGGCTGGAGGGACTGGTTACACCTGTACTTGGCAGCCTCGCTTTCGTCAACGTGCCCCAGGGCAGCTGTGGCTACACTGTAGCTCATCACCACCAGTGTGTGCATGTGTGTGTGAAAGAGTGAATGACTGCATGTGTTGTGAAGTGCCTTGGGGGGTTTGTAGAATCCTAAAAGGAGCTACACACACACATGCCGTTTGCAGTTTAACCCTCCATGTGGCCCACAGGTTGTTTCATGTGTGACAAACTTTTCACACCTTCACTCTTTTTGGAAACAACCTTTGAAGGTTGGGCTTCTCTGAAAGCTTTGTCGACACTAGTCTTCTTCTAGCACTGTAAGCTAGTTGCAAAAGATGTAGCTCTGCAGGTCTGTCTAGTCCTCCCCAAGTGGAGGAGTTTAAGTATCTCGGGGTCTTGTTCAGGAGTGAGGGAAAGATAAAGCACAGGTTCAACAGGTGGATGAGTGCTGTGTCTACAGTGATGGTCTGTCGTGGTGAAAAGAGAGCTGAACCGGAAGGAAAAGCTCTCGATTTACTGGTCGATCTACGTTCCAACCGTCACCTATGGTGACGAGCTTTGGGCTGTGATTGAAAGAATGAGATTGCCTCCTGGACACCTCCCTGGTGAGGTTTTCCAGGCCTGTCCAATTGGGAGAAGACCTAAAGGAAGGCTCAGAACATGCTGGAAGGATTAGGTTTCTCGGCTGGCCAGGGAACACCTTAAGATTCTCCCAGAGGAGCTGGCTGAGGAGAGGGAAGTCTGGGCCTCCCTGCTTACGTCTGCTGCCCTCGCGACCCGACCTTGGATAATCGGCCAAACATGGATGGAAATGGGTGGTCGGTCTAGCTCCATTGTAGCCTCAGCAGATCTACCATTGGCCCAAAAGATTTAAGTAGGGCCAATCACAGCGCTCTATGTTTGTAGAGAGACATTGGGCAGGCTTATAGTGCGTTCGATTTGTCCTCGGAACTCGGAAATCCCCACCTCCGAGTAGGAAAAATCTAATGAAACGCGCCCCCACATCGGACCTCCCAGTCGGAAACTCGGAAATCTTTCACAACCCCGACTTCGAGATCCACAATGGCAGCTCTCTGTGTCAACAACAGTAAGTTTTGATTGAAATGTGTTTATTTTACAAGACACACTTTTAAGAGTGCGTCTAAAATCAATGTTATATGTAGCGCCTGCAACTCCAACCTGAACAATCTAAAAGTGTTGCTTGCATGTCGAACATACAGCTTATAACTACGATATACAAACAATGGCTACTTGGGAGGTGTGCTATCCCACTCCCCCACAAAGCAAAAAGATGCACAGCTCATAAAGATAGCTTTTTATTTTTCACTCTTTGATTCCAAACTGCTTACTGAGATTTCAACTTTCAGGGATTACATTTGCATTTTTAGGCTGTATGTTTTTAGAGTCCTAATAATGGCGTTACACTATTTTCTACCTGTGGCTGCATTTTTGCATTAAATATTTTGAATTTTATCAAATGTATTTCATTTTAATCTTCATTTGTTGATGTTGCAGTCTATTTGGACAAAAACATGGCAATGTTCCTAGATGAACAGAGGAGTTTCCCCTTTCCTGGCCCCTTGTTCCAGAGGTTAGGGCAGTCCCACGTGCTACATGGATGAGGATCTCACAATAGAGGCCAAGCTTATAGAGGCTGAGGAGGATGTTTGTGATGAATCAGGTAAAGCTCCTGAAGTAAATGTCACAATTAACACAATAAATGTGAAATGTTCTTGCAGCATCATAACTACTGTTCTTACCTGTCCTTAAAGCCAACGAGAACGTGGCCTCAACGTCCACTTCAAGCCTGGCAGCAAACCAGGGATTCAGTCGAGCACAAACTTTGTTTTTAATCGACCAGATGAGGGAACACCTGGAAAAGGATGGCGACGGTTGCCCCAAAACTCTGAAAGAGCTGAAGATGAGGCTGAAAAATAGTAAAGGCAACAAAAAAAAAAAAACTGTGGAAATCTGTTGCAGAAAAGTTGTCCTTGCATTTTGTAGAGAGTGTTCACCCAGACAAAGTAGCTAGGAAATGGAACATTTCAAAAAAGTAAAAGACAACAATAAGAGTAGGGAAAGGAGCTATGCCATTTCAGTTTTTTGAAGAGATGGAGCAGCTGCTAGGGGGCCAACATGACGTTGTCTTTCCAGTAGTTGGAACTGCAGCAGGACTGGAGGTGAGGAGACCAGAACTTCTTGTGCCTGACACACCCTCACTATCACGCAGACGGTGCAGGGATCAGTCCCAGGATGAGCTTCTGCAGTTTTTCAGGGACTCTGAGGAGCATGTGACAGACAACACAACCATGCAACAACTGCGCACAGCTCAGGAAAGCTTTGAGGCTGTAATGAACAGACTCATTGAAAAGATGTAGTTTGTTGAAAATGTTGGGGTTTGCACAAAAATGTCCACTTTAAATCAACGTGTACTGTTTTCATTATATTTCCAGTCCAATAAGAAATAGTTCTTTGAATCTGTTTCTTTAACTTTACAAGATAGTTTGTGCAATATTTTCATTAATGGCGACTGAATGTGTTCTGTCTTACAGTAGATTGTAGACTTCTTAAAACTGTTTGATTACCTTTCATTTTTTATTACATTTGTTGCTTCTAATATTGTGTCCAAGTCTGTTCTACATTAGCAATGACAACAGCCTCATCTTTATTAAGTGTAGTTACCTTATTAAAGACAGAGAAGGAAAGAAACGATCTTTTATGTAGCGCCTCTCAAGACAAAACTCACGAGGTGCTTCACAAAAAAAAACATTTTAAATATAAAAATATTTTTATAAAGTGGTAAAAAAACATGTTTAAAATAAAAAAATGTAAATTGTGAGTTAAAAATGTAAAGAAAGAAAGAGAGAGAGAGAGAGAGAGAGAGAGAGAGAGAGAGAGAGAGAGAGTAAATAGGGAAGAATAAATACTTGAGTGTGAAGCAAAGAAAACACTAATAAAATAAAGCCACTGAAATACAGACACACTGCAATCAACAACATATTTCAATATCTAACAAGAACAAGATGAAATGCAAAATATGTGTGAAAGCAAAACAAGCGTCTTGCAACTTTGACAACACTACTCGTTGTCATCATCCTCCCTTGGGCAGCCCTGGGTGTGCAGCTGGCACAAGTCAGCAATAATCATGTGCAAGAAACAGGCTGCCATTATTATCATCTCCACAGTTTTGATGTTGGTGTTCTGAAGATCACGGAGACGCCTCCACATGCACTTTATTCGTCCAAAAACTTGTTCAACAACCACCCTACCACAACTGATCTTGTTATTCTTAAGTTGTTCCTCACAAGTCAGGGTTCCATTGTCGCATTGAGGGGTTACAACAAATGGAAAATCTCGCTCGATGTGTGCGCTGTCTCCAAGTAAGCTGTAACCAACCATTTTCTCTTGCCATGATTCACAGAAGGGAGAAGCCCTCAACATCCTTGCATCATGCACCCTTCCAGGTGGTCCAGCACAAATGTCCACGAATCTTCCTCTGTCATCCACAATCCCCTGGAGAAGGACAAAGAAGAAAGACTTTCTTTTCTTGTAGTCTACACCTTGTACTGGTAGCTTCTGCACCCTTATATGACACCCATCGATGGCACTAATGACACCAGGGATGCCACAGAGTTGCTGAAAAGCAAGAGCAGATGTTGCTTTCTCACAGGCATTTGGCCAGGAGACAAAGTTTGAGGCAAGTGTGCAAAGTATTTTAAGCACATCCACAATGATTTGGTGTGCCGCAGACTGGAACACATCAAATTTGTCCGACATCTCTCTAAAGCTGTTTTGGTTCGCCATGTACCACAGAAACATCAGCACCTTCTTTGTCACAGGAACTGGTGGCAGGCCTTGATGGTGTTCCCTGCCTACTCCATTCTCCTGCAGCTTCATTGTCAGGTATTCAAACTGTGGCCTGGTGACCCTAAAATGGCGAGCAAAGGTGTGCTCATCCATGTGCAGCCACACCTCCCACTCTGTTCCAGTCTTCAGAATAAGCCTCTTCGTTCTCTGCAGTAGGAGATGACAGTACATCCTAAGAAGAAGAAACCAGTTTTTTATTGTGCATTTCAAGATAAAAATCACAAAGCACTTCACAGTAAGAAGAGAAAATAATAGTTTTAGCTTAAATTAAAACACCACTTAATCATTATCGTATTACTCCTAAATACACATACATAAACAAACACTTAATTACAAATCCGACAACATATTTGTCTTTTATTTTTTGTTTGCATCTCACATTACAACAATATGATTTATATCCCTTTAAAAAAAATTGGAGAATGGCACAACACACAATGAAGGTTGAAAATCCTGACGAAAGACTCAACCAACAGCAATATGCTGAAAGAGGAACACCTACCTTCTTCGTCTTTGTCTCTCTTCGAATATTCTTTGAAGATGAGCTTTATGTGTGTTTATGAGTTGTCTGTGTTCGTTGAAAGCTAACAAAACAGCCGTTTTCGAGGGCGTCACCATACTGGAATCCTGACTTCTCCGTCTCCGGCAACCAGAATGCTGTTAACTCGGGTGTGACGTCATTCCCAGTTCCGAGTTCCGACTTCCGAGGAAAATCGAACACACCCTTAGCACCAGAGCTGCAACTGAAAAAAAAACTACAAAGATGGTGTCAGCTCTGGAAAAGCACTTGTTTGAAACAGCTTTGGCATCCACGTTGGATGATTTAGACTTTGGCTGTTCTTCTTGGAGACATGAGCAGATGAAGGTACCTAAATCCTTTATTTCAAAAAGGGATGTAGTACATTCTTCTTCTTCTTCTTCTTGTTCTTCTTCTTGTTCTTCTTGTTCTTCTTGTTCTTCTTCTTGTTCTTCTTGTTCTTCTTGTTCTTCTTCTTGTTCTTCTTCTTGTTCTTGTTCTTCTTCTTGTTCTTCTTGTTCTTGTTCTTCTTCTTCTTCTTCTTCTTTGACATATATAGAAGAATGCCTCATTGACTGATCCCTGATTAATTTGTCAAGCTGTTCTTTGCTCTAATTGGTCCTAGCACTGTCCAGCTGCGTGCAGAGACAGTTTGAATGAGGACGGTGAATTTTGCCCAACGACTGAGCTCTGTCTATGGGTTGTGGTCAGACTATATAATTACAGCTATAGGATGGCATGCCAGGCTAGTCTTTTTCTGCTTCGTGTTAAGATGCACCACCCCTCCAAATAAGCCACTTTTACTTTTACAGGGGCGCTCACGCTTTTTTATAACCTGTTTGATTTTCAGCATTAGCAAAAAAATCACGATCTTAGACTTTCACCTACTTCACCATTCCACAACATTTCCACTTTTTTGGCAAAAATCACTCAGCAGATAAAATACAGCTTACTTTTTTTCTTTTGCTGTTTCCAGGAGGAGTGTGGTTACCCTCGGTGACCTGGTGCCATAGATAGGACCCATCATTGCTCCCAGGCATAACCCTGTGGACGACTATAAGAAGAAGAAATGGAATAAGATTCTCCTGCAAGCTGTGGTGGACCATAAATTCTGGTGAGCATGACTTTCTGGGCCGAAGTGGTGTCTCTTTTTATCTGCGGCTTCGCCTCTGTCAGTTTCAGAAACTTCATTTAAGATTCTTTTTAAAGAAAAAAATATTAATTCATGGATTTTCCTGATTCTAAATGCAACAAATTAAGACTCAACCTGAAAATGACATGTCCATCCAGGTGTCACAAACATCATCATGTGGGGTTGGTTCTTCCCTTTAATTTGTCATCTGTTTGTACAACTCGATGGATTTATGTTGTTCACGCAGGAGAGACATGCCTGGTTAGGAAGACTGATTTGAATGAAAAACAGCTGCTTTCTCATCATTAAGTGTGAGGTTTTGTGGCTCAAATGGGTTCTCTGGTCATTATCTGCTCAGTGTGATGCTCATTAGTCTGTCAATGCCAGCACATTTTGGGGCTCTAGGAAGCTATTCACACTCTGCTGCTGAAGGAAACACACACAGAGAATGAATGCACTGGAGGTTTGGGTTGATAAAATGTATTCAGAGCTTCTTGCCTCCATTTGTCATTATGCTTCTGCAAATTGTTTTTTTCTTGTTTGGGTTTTATTATTGTTTTATTGTATTTTATTACGTGTTTTCTGTCAAGTGACCTTGGGTGTTCTGAAAGGCGCTTTTAAATAAAATGTATTATTATTATTATTATTAAATGTACTTTTCTTTCAGTGCTTGTAGCTCAAATGCTGATTGTTGGGTGCAAAGTTGTCTACCATGTTGTTTCTTCGATATAGCACAAACACACCTACACACACACACACACACACACACACACACACACACACACACACACACACACACATATTTCTGATAGCCATCAATTGAGGGGCATGCACTATTGTTTCAGCTCAGTGCTAATTACCTCAGGTCTTGACCTCAGGTTCAGCAGAAGGGGGGATGTCCACATGAATCTGGGCGTGTGCTGAGAGAGCTGTGTGTGGACCACGGTGACCGAATGGAGAGGTCATTGCTGCTGCGTCAATTGTTACCCCACTAAATCCATCAAAACATTGCAGTCTAAGCCAAGAGAAAGAAAACAACAACACAAAAACTACATTTTATTCAACTGTTTGCATTTAAACCCTCCTAACTGCTGATAAACTTGCCTCTTGGCCAGGACTTCATTGAAAATAAAGTATTTTTAATCTCAGTGGGACCTTCTTGGTTAAATAAAAGAACAGATAAAAACAAAAAACAAAACTCATTTTCGTGTTGATATTTGCAGTTCTGGCCATGTTTTGTTCCTACATTTTGGAAGAGGAGCATACTCTAAACAAGATTTTCCTTTTTTTTTCCCTTGTTCCTCCTTCTTCTCTGATTGGCTCCTCGTGGTTTTCTGTTTTCTGTCAGCAGATAACAGATTAGACCTGAGATAGAAGCAGCACATATTTTCGGGTCAGGGTAAATCTCTTTCTACAACGGAGCGGGTACGCTGTTCCAGTAATTAAAAATCAGATATTAACATTGTTTGTTATTTGCATATTAAACAAATGAGTGTGATAGAAAAATAATATTTCTCACCAGCTAGATAAAGTTGCAATAATATGTGTATAATGATCATATTGTGATCTAATGTCTGGCTGTCCTTCACACTGATACAATGTTCCAGTTCTGACCAGTTTGTCTTTCAGCATTCCATTTATGATGAGTGTAAAAATACATTATCTAGCTGAAGTCAGACATTTCTGATACTTTAAAGTAGGCGTATTCAATTGGTCCTGGAGGTCCAGTATCCAGCATGTTTTAGTGGTTTCTCTGATTCAAAACACTTGAATCACCTGTGCAGCAGCTAATCAGGCTCTGCAGAAGCCCGTTAATCACCTGCTGATTGAAATCAAGTGTGTTGAAGCAGAGTTAAAACTAAAACGTGCTGGATACTAGCCCTCCAGGAATGGAATTGAATACCCCGCTTTAAAGAATCTATTTCAGGGAAAAACGTTCTGCTCAACAAAGCAGCATGCTGGGTCTTCCTATCCGCTTGTGTCCATGTGTAAATCTCACTTAGAAGTTTTAAACCACCTCATGACATCATCGTTTGCATCCAAGGAGCTGTGTTTCCACCTGTTTATTTAAAGCGGACTTGGCCATACTTGACACTCTTAAGTCCAAACCGGACTAGTTTGCATGACTCTCTCAACCCAAGCACATCTTCTTCACCTTAGGTCTGGAATATACTGGCTGTTTAAGGACTCGTACATCTGTTTAAAATGTCTTCCTCGCGTAATTTGTGTTGATTTCAATGGTTGATTTGAAGCGTCATTTGTGCACGTTCCATGAGTTGACAAAACGAGCGAGACACACTCACCAAGGTCATTCTGTCTCTGGTTTAAAAGGGCTTCAATACTGTCTACAATGCCGCTGCTGTATTTTTTCTGCCATGATTTCATAATTAACAAGTTGCTGATCTCTTCTGTGAACGCTTCTGTTAATGCTAAGATGGTTTCGGTTGTACCCACAAACCGAGTAGGACCTGACTGCAGACATCAGCTGGCGTGTCACCGGAAGAACTGTCTAGCGAGAACAAGATGGCGTGTCATTACTTTTACCGGAAAATCGACGAGGGAAAGACCTCGGCCGGAAGTTGGTCTTTTTTGGCGGCCGTTTTTGTTTCAACCATACTCGGCGGGTTTCAGAGGGGAAAGGTAAGGATGAAATTAACTAATTGTTGTAACCGTTCTCAGTTCTTAAATGTAGGCACTATAGCATTTAAAGCTTTACCAGAGAATTATTACAAAGGCACCGTGTTTCACAGCTAATTATATCAATGTTAACACGCAGTCGGTTCACAAGCTAACACAAAAGCTACATAAATAAAGCAATCAGCAATTGTAGCTTAGCTTTAACTTTAACTTTTTCTGGTCTCCCTGTTTGTTAAAACTGTTAAAGTAACATTAACTTTATATATAATTTAGATATGATATAAAGACCACGATTTCTAATACTGACTTGACTGAAACGTTATTAATACCCTTTGTTTTAATTAAAAAGCGTAGATTTTCAGAAATTTGTAATCAATAGTTTTCATACGAGGCTAAAGTTAGCTTCTGATTCGGGAAATGGCTAAAGGGCTAATACACTCAATTTTTCTCTACTCTGACAATTTTTAATCTGCTCTAGCTCAAAAATTACAACACATACACTCTTCAAACCTGTTTTAGATTATTCTAGGCTCATAGCAGAATGCATAAAACATAGTTTGATTTGTGAAACCTTTCTCTGATTTGTGAAACTTCAAAAAAGACAGATTTATGAATTTATTTTTCAGCATCTGGCCCACAGTGGAACTGGTCCTGTGCACCCAAAAATTATTTTTTTTTCTGGACAAGCTTAGCTTTCAATATCTCCAAATATTTTTAAGTTACTGTGTGGAATTGTGCTGGGTCATTCAGGCACAAATCAGGTGTCCTGCAACAGGTACATTAACTTTGAAATAGTAGCCGCTTCTCTAATTATTGCCTCCCTCCTTCTGATTCTGTTTCAGAATAATCCTAACCTTATGAAAAATAGATATTTTTGTCGACTGACTGCTTTGATCGGGTATGGTTTATGTGAATATTACCAGATTTAAGCACATTTAGCTGCAAATCATTCAGGAGTTAGAGGTCTTAAATGTAGATCTAAAATGAATATCGGACTTCTTCAAGTGACACTGACAAAACTCCTTTCATGTGCTTGTATTCATCATTTGCTAATAAGATCATTTTTATCTAAATTACAGGACAATCGAGGCTTTGAAAAATGGAACCCAGGCAGTAATTTTAGATGGTGAAATCAAGGTAATGTTTAGTTATAATAAGTATAAACTCTAAAATTGGACATAGGATAATGCAATCCCTTGTTATCTGTGGTAATGTTGCTTATTTGTAACTCTTGTCTTTACTCAGACTGTGAATAAGGATCTCTGCAGCGGTAGAGTGAAGTCTGGCCGCATGTATCTGTGGCACAGTCCAGGTGTTTCGCTTAAATTAAAGCAAAGACTAAAGCCACTGATGTTCCGCTTTGCTGATGCACAGGTAAATGTATACTGACTTACAATAAGCTGCATCACATTTATTTATCTCGATGCGTGGCCAGTGGGCCACCTGGGTCCGTTGTCTAATGCTGAGAGGAACGTTTAGTTCATTTTTATATTAACGTGTTTTATAGGTTGACGAGCTGACAGAGCGGATTAGTTCATGCTCAGGAATAGATAAACTAATGAAGAAGGGAGAATTCCAGTTTCTGGACTTGGTGTTTGATGTCCTTGTTCCAGAGGTACAAAGCAGTCTTCAGCAGTGATTGGTATAAAAGTCACTTTTCGAAAACATTTGTCAGTGTATGAAGTAATCCTGCATGTTTTTCAGGTGACAATAAAAGTGTTGGAAAAATGGGAGGGGATGAATCGATATGCAGCTGAGAAAGCCATGCTTCAGCAAATTCATTTGTACCCAAAATAAAATGGTTGTGACATTAAGTGTTTCTTTGGTTTTATTGTCTTTCACTCAAAATAAATACCAACTAGCTAAATAGTTATCAGCTGTAGTAGATAAATTCTGTTGCAATGAGCTGCTGTGATACACAATAGGACAGTGTTATGGAAATTTTGTGACAAATTTTTGTTGCTGGTGAGAGACGAGTGTTGCTGAAATGTTTTTCACTGCTTCTGGGAGTCCTGCACTTTAGCAAGTGGTGCGGGTCAAAAGTTCATCTTGGGCTTAACAATAAAGGTGAATATTAAGCAACTACTATTTTGTTTGCACATCTTGAAAAGTCTTAGTTTAATGCAGGAGCGGATTTAGGAATGAAGAAGATCCGGGGCGCGTGCGCGCTCATACACACACATGTAACATGCATTAGTCTTTTCATAAAACATTCGGGGCTTGAGCCCAAGTAGCAGGGCCTAACGCCGCCCCTGGTTTAATGTATTCTCATTTTTTCCATATACGTTGTTTTATTCACTTTACAGCCTTTTATTGTTGTAATTATATATATATATATATATATATATATATATATATATATATATATTTATGTGTGTGTGTGTGTGTGTGTGTGTGTGTGTGTGTGTGTGTGTGTGTGTGTGTGCTACTGTCATAAAAATTCCCTGTCTGAAGGACAAAGGGATTTAATATTCAATTTTCATGCAACGTAGGTAACGACGTTATTTAAAAGTTTGCCAGTCCAGATTTGAAGAGAAAAAAGTTCCGAAATAAAAATCTTTTTCCGGAAAGTTTTGGTTAAAAAAACTACTTCCTGTGAAAGTAATGACTTCTGGTTAAGGCAATGACCCACCGTGTAATTTTTCTCTTCGATATGTATATGTTTATGTACATATCGAAGAGAAAAACGACACAGTATAGTTTTTCTTGTCAAATCCAAGCACCTTCCGGCAAAGGTAACGACTTCCGGTGTCTTGATTTTCCTGTTACGTCATTTCCTGTCACATCAAAGACGCCAGCTGATGTCTGCAGCCAGATGCTTGAGCACAAACCTGGCTCTCTATCTTGCATGAGTACTCTACTGTCCCCCCTAGTGGAACACTCCAGTACTATCAGCATTTCAGCAAGTATAGCCGTTTTTACAAAACAATGCTGTCAATTTGCCAAATGTGGCAAATTTGGCGGCATCAGGGAGTCTCAGGTCATTTATAAGAGGTCAGATCATGGCTGTAATGTGGCGCAATCGTGTCGTTTTTACAAAAGACTAGGTGATGGTGCTGCAAAGAGGGTATGGGGCGATCCCTGCACTGCCGCAGACTTCCATTTATTTTGGACATAACTTGATTTTTTTTTTTTGCGACAGAAGCTGTGCTCAAGTTTTTGCAACCTGCTGCATCAATGTGAGGCTAAAAATTAAGTATTTTCTGGGCCTTAGTAGGACTTTCGCTCATTCAATGTGCCAAAAACATAATTTGACAAACAAATCTAACAACAATCTGGGTAGTAATTGTATTTATTTATTTATTTTACAAAAAATACTTCAAGCATGCATGTTTTAGGTGAGATAAAGCCTGAGAAAACCCACACATGCATGATGAGAACATGCTAACTCCATGCAGAAAGTCTGCAGCTGAGGTCTGCATCTTTCTTTCTGCTAGTGCTAGCCACCCTGCATCCTGATACTGCAGAATGCTCCGGAAACACTTCCCAACCATTTCTCCTATCCATCCAAGCCTAATCCAGTTTCTGATAACACTCCTCTCTTTTCTAAGCTCTCCTGACAAATTGTAGCAGGTTCTATCAGATTTTTTGGGATCAAAGACATGACTAACACACAAATTTAAATCACTATCACTTTATCACTGCTGATATGGACAGAATGACGTTTGATCTGTGACTTTTGCTATCAGATTATACCGATGAACCTTTTGAGTGCTAAAAAAATCACTTTATTTGTCAAACTGAGGATGAAATCAACCTGGAAGAAAGTATTTGATGTAGTGTTATTTAAAAAAAAACTCTTTGAGCAGCTGAAGTGAATTTGCAACTCATTTGAAACACTGGTATGTAAAGTATTCCCAATATGTTGAGTGTGAGTACATGTTCTTTCAGACTCTCAAAACTCAACAAAACAGCCCCCGGCACTTTCTCATCCGAGTCCTCTGACGACGCTGAAAAGCCAAAACAACACTCTTCACTGTGAGTTTCATGCTGCAAGAGAGAGGCCTTCTCTCAGGTTGCCACGACCAAACAAAACCTGTCCATTATGTACTTTCATTGCAATGCAAAACAGATTTCTGATGCTTCAGCATCACTTAAGGCCCTACTTTCAATTACAATGTCAGGAGCACTTAGAGCTGACGAGAAGGGGAGTGGAACCTGTGGTGAGCCTGCAAACAGTCCTACAACACAACCAGGGACTGAAATTATCAATAAACATACCCACATGCAAAGAAATTGCATAAACAAACAACGAAAATAGATTTATCCAGGCTAACATGAATACAAGTTGTGAAGATTTTTAATATCTGCAGAAGAGTAGAGTGGGCACAAAGAGGAAGATTGGGATAGAAAAAAAAGGATGGAAACAGAAATGGGACAAGAGAAGGTAAAACAGAGACAGAAGGGGGAGAAATAAAGGAAGGGGGAGGAGTCTGGATGGTGATCCGGCCCTCCTAGCCCTGGGTTGGTCAGGGAAACCCAACTCCCGCGCGGGGATTGGTCGGATCTCCACCGGACAGAGGGAAAACAGTCTCCCTTCACAGACACAATAAAAGTTTTGAGCTGGGCGCTTTAGCAGCCAGTGGACGCACAACAGGACCTGCATGCTGTGTTTCTCTCTGCGCCTTTATGCACTAAGCTGCGCACGGAAAGCCCCACGAAGCTGAGGATTTATTCTAAACGCAGTTTTTCTATAAAAATGAAGTTTTACATTATATATTAGCGGGAAATACGCGCACACGTCTCGCTTCGCTGCTGCTTTGTGGATTTTCGGATGTTGGTGAATGGCACACTGACGCACGGATTACACGCGCTCCGCTCCTGCTGGACCGATACATCCACGTGCTCCCGTTTCCAAGGCGACCTTACAGTGTTTTGTGGGGATAATAACCGGGTCAGTATTTTAAACCGAGGTCACCCAGCCGCTTGGTTCATTGATGGGGGTGAACATGTCCGGGACGATCCTCCTCCACCTCCTACTCTTCTACTCCGTTTGTCCGCTCAACGCTTTCGGCGAGGACGAGGAGGAGATGACCTGCGACCCGATCCGGATCAGCATGTGCCAGGGTCTCGGCTACAACGTCACCAAGATGCCCAATCTGGTCGGCAACGTGCTGCAGTCGGACGCGGAGCTGCAGCTGACCACGTTCACACCGCTCATCCAGTACGGCTGCTCCAGCCAGCTCAAGGTATACGGGCAGCAGCTCCGTGATCACTAATCATGCGTTAGAGAAGTGAAGCTGGGAAGGGTCCAGCTAGAAACTTTTTGGATCGGCGGGTCCAGTTCCTAAAAAAAGCCTGGCAGAGTTCAGAAAGTCTGCTGTATTTGTGTGTGCGTAAAAGGAGCGTGGCTCCAGAGCACATGACAGGCAGCCAGGCTGCGCAGACTGATGGTGCCAGCAATAATGAGCATATTATAGATTGATTCCCAGGCAGTTAAAATAAGTGGAGGGCTCCCTCCTCTCCTCCCCCCGTCGTGCCATGCTGTCATGTTAATTTGGCTGAAAATGCCCCCTCTGTCTGTTGACATTCTGAGTTCATGGCTCCGCACAGCAGCAGCCGAGCTTTATACTGTAGTCTTCCTGTTAACAATGGTGCCCTCAGTAACTTTAGACAAATGCTGCTTGTTTGACTCTTGCAACTTCGAGGGCAAAAACATGGATTTCTGAAATTTTAACTTCATGCACTGAGATTATGGGGTGCTGATTGTAAATGTATATTAAATAAACAAGCAGGTACATTTGGTCATGTTTAGCTCCCCATAAAAACAAAAAATAGGGTGGGACATTTTTAAAGACAACTTCTCATCCCGTATATTTAGGATATGACAATGTTTCTAAACTAAATAATATAATTTCAAAAGTTATAAACGTGACAAGTGTTACATCTTAAAATCTTATATAGAGTTGAATCTAAACATTTTTAATTTAAGTACAAATATGTTTAACGTGACATCTATTTGTTGAAATCCAAGCACGAAAGTGGTTGTTTTAAACTAAGTAAACATCTCAGGATCCATTTGATAGATTAGGAGTTAATTTAACCATAGATTATTTATAAATGATTCTGTTTGGGTTTCCTCCACAAATGGTTAAAATGATTCTAATCCAAGACCTTAAATAGGGACTCTACTCACTATGCTTTATTTATTTATTTTTTGGGTGAGATACTTTTGTTTTACAGCAGTCTGAATTCGGTCCAGTATTTATTTAAAACAAAAAACATTTACTTTTAGATGCAACTAAATACATTGATTAATTTAAATATTTATATTAAACTTCATATTTTTATAGTGGATTATAATTTTATATAGTCAGGCTTTATTCTAAATAGTTATTATTTTACGTCATTATTTGTGGTCTGTTAATATTTGCGTGTATAACTTTACAGTCAGGGCCCCATGCGGGAGTAATGACTGCATAAAAGATGGAGATAACCTCCCTTTTCTCTTTTGGTGAATTATTAAGCTGTTTGGATCCTGTTGTTAAAATATGTTATGTGACAGCCAAGCAGGATAAAATCAACCTGCCGTCCTCCAAGTTGTAAATCATCCTGTAAGTTTAGCTGACACCCCTCCCTTCCTGCTGCTCTCCCTGCACACGCAGAGAAAAACACACTAAAGATGGAGAAAGAGGAAAGAGCCACCAGCTAATGGAAGGCTTCCTGAGTGGTAACTGGAGCGGCTTTTAGCATTAAAGTGGCAGCGCTCAGGTTACAGACGTTCACCGTCCTCGTCACTGGTTAGGCATGCACCGTGAGAAGGTTCATTACAAACCAGGCTGGATGTAACTTTATATCTTCTACTTGTTTTGTGAATGAATGAGTCGAAACGCAAAAGCTGCAAGGATTTGCATCCAGTTCTGTTTACAACCTTTCGGATTTGATCTGAACTCACCGAAGGGCTCAAGTTAGATGTGTTAAGTTTGGGAACAGATGTTTATCAGTGTTGTGGGGAAACTGTTTCCAGATCAGTTAGGCAGCTCAGTTTGCAGCTATAAAGCTGACCCAGACACTGATCAGAGAGCAGTAGAGAAAATTAAGTGCTGGGAAAATGTGATCTGGAGTTTATATCAGTTGGAGTTCACACAGGAGGGGATTCGACTCAGCTGATGCATCATCAGACGCGTGTGTGTTTGCTCAGATGTTTAACCCTCTGGAGGCAGGCGTTGCAGATTTGTAACAGTTAAAACCTACCTACCTGGTTACTCCACATACGTATTTCATGAGCATTTTTTAACTCAGAATTACCCCTGAAGGACTTATTTTTTCGTCCTTTTATCAAAATTGAGTTTGAGCCTGAGAGGGTTGTTTGCGAATAAATTCTCAGACTTTCTCAATTTGAACACTCTTGGATGATTTGGAGATTCCGTTTGTCCAGAAGCTGAGTGTCAGGGACTTGCATAAACCAGCCAGGAGAGCACGGATGATTTTCTTGACATGTTAATTTATTACTTTTTTTTTCTTTTCTCCAAAGAGGGTTCCAACCAGCACTTGACATTACAAGACGATGGACGAAGTAACAAAGTAACCCAAACTCAGGATCTGACTACAGACATGCACCAAACAAAAAACCTCCTACAGACACAACATGATCAACTTAAATAGTGGCTGATCATACCACTGCCAACACAATAGGGTGGGGAGACATCAGTAAACAAAACATAAACTACCCCTAACAAATTCATACTAATCAGTCCATTCTGTTTGAGTTACTTCAAATGAAAACATTACTATCAAAACTCACCTACTATTTACAAAAGAGAATAACTAAATTCACAAACACAGGAATCTTCTCTGTTGAGAGTTGGTATGACCCAATGGTGCTGATTAGGCCAAGTGATCTGCTACAGCTGCTCCAACTCCAAGGCCACTGGCAACTCAAAGAAAACATATTAATCATACACCCCTACAGACTAAACCCGATGAGTAACTGAATGTGTGCACTTCATACAGTCACCCAAACAGTCAATCCATGGAAACAAACACCTTTATTCAAAATAAAAGAAACATTAACAGTCATTTACTTGAAGTGTGACAGCAGGGCAGCTGTCACACTGAGGCTTGTCTGTCAGCGGACCAATATGAGCCCCTTACATCAAGACTTAATGCAGATTTTGGCCACTTTGGTATAAAAAAAAAGCAGCTGCAGACCCAGTACTCCCAGCACCAGTCCCACGGGCCTGCAGGGTTTTGTTTGTTTCTTTCGGCTGAGGGTAGCTAAGTGAGACAAACTTTCTACTTCTATGAATTCTCATTTCATGAGCCTGGCACAGTTTTACTTTTTGGCTTCCAGCAAATTTCACAGTAGGTGCATGAAATCACCTCAAATGTCTGCCTTCTGCAGCAAGAGAGCAGCTCTCCCCTTGCATTACCATCAACCGTCAGCAAACAAAGTGGCTCAGGATCTTTATTAGAACAAGAGCGAGTTCAGATTTTTTATATTTACCTTTATTGTAGTGATGCTCAATGCATCACAAACGTGTAGTTATAGCAAAATCAGAGTGTTGCAATGATCTACTTGGACCACAACAAATTAGATACTCTATTTAAGTGACATGCATTTGCATGATGACTTCAAGGTCTACAGTCAGTGCTCAATAACTAAAACACACCAAGGGTTGTGACACAGGGGAGTGTAGTGTATATTCTGCACAATATTGAAGAATAATGGTGCACTGACATATTTTTCTTCATCTAAATGCACAATCCCATGCAACATTCCAAAGTCCTGCTCTGCCTCAAAGTGTGTTTTGCTTGACTCTCTTCTACTGCCACTACTCAGCTTCTAAACAACAGAAAACTAGCTGTTGGAAGGATTAAACACAGATCTGCCTGGGCACCTTTGGACCAGATTAGCGCTTTCAACTAAAGGTCAAAATAGAAATTCCACTGGTATAATAAAGTAATAGGATAAAACAATACATGATTAATGCATGCAATTGTTTGTAAGAAACTATTCTAGCGAGCAAGCTGTAGCAACTTGAAGCCCAAATACGCAACTTACCTTCTGCCACAGAGCAAAACAACCAATTTAATCAGAATAAAGTCAAAACTACAATGATTCTGTTTGTGTTTTTAATGATTTAGTCTCATTTTCTCTCTGATCATCTCAAAAGAATGCTTATTTTCCAGAATTTTAGTGTGCAATGTCTTATTTTTTGTGTCTGCAGTTCTTCCTGTGCTCGGTTTATGTGCCCATGTGCACAGACAAGGTTCCCATCCCCATTGGGCCGTGTGGCAGCATGTGCTTGTCTGTGAAGAGAAAGTGCCTCCCGGTGCTGAATGAGTTTGGCTTCATTTGGCCTGAGGTGAGTCACGTTGTCATGACAGAAAAGCCTGAATGAACAAACATATTTTTAAGAGAAAGTCCTGATTAGCAGAGCGGAGCGCGAGCATTAGGAAGGGTCGTTACTTTAGATTGCGTTTTTCTGCATGAAAACACTTCCCAGGATTAAATGTTTATGACCGTGATGCTTCCTTCCCAGGTGCTCAACTGCAGCCACTTCCCACCTCGAAATGACCACAACCACATGTGCATGGAGGGCCCGGGTGACGAGGACCCCCCCTACCAGCCCGTCCGCCACCCTCCCCTACAGGAGGAGTGTCAGGCCCTGGGATCTGCACCTGATCAGTACACCTGGATCAAACAGACAGAGAGCTGCTCCCTCCAGTGCGGCTATGACAGCGGGCTCTATCGACGGGGCGCCAAAGTCTTCACGGACGCATGGATGGCGGTTTGGGCCGTTTTGTGTTTTCTGTCGACCACGCTGACAGTGCTGACCTTTTTGTTGGACTCGCAGCGCTTCTCCTACCCCGAGAGGCCCATCATCTTCCTGTCCATGTGCAGTAATCTGTACAGTGTGGCTTATCTGGTGAGAAAGACATCTGTTCTTTAATAAAATGTGTCAGAAGAGGAGTTTTGCTTCCTTTTCCTGTTATTAATTGATCTACTAATGTTTACAGGTGCGGCTGACTCTTGGTCGAGAACGCGTTTCCTGTGACCTGGAAACTGCTGCAGTACCCATTCTGGTTCAAGAAGGGTTAAAGAACACCGGCTGTGCCATCGTTTTCCTCCTGCTCTACTTTTTTGGCATGGCCTCTTCTCTCTGGTTAGTTTAAACAGTCTTCTTCATCTCGTTGTCTCAGTTTGCCCATTGTCACCAGCTGCTGCGATTGGCTTGTGGTGGAACAACTGGAAGACGAGACTCGCATCCTGTTTTCTTTAAAAATCAACCTATCCTGTCTCATAACCTCTGTACTAGTTGGATTCAGTTCCAACCAAGGCCTTTCTCCGGACCAAAGTGGCGGTGGAAACTGCTGTCACAGCTCTTTTTTTTTTTTTCACTCGACTCTTGTTTTCCTGTTTCTCTTTTCTTCTTTTGGAGAAGCTACAGGAGAAGGACCTTTCCCACTCTTAGATTATGATCACTACCCTCAATTCTCAAAACTCGTGACCAGCTCCTTTCTTGATAACCTAATTACAGCTGGAGACATCCTCATGGTTATTGAAAAGGCTCAAGGAGTGAATCATATGATGTTTTAACAGCAATTCCCTTGTGTAGAATATATTTTAATATACATTTTTATTAAAAATGTGAGAAAATAAGCCCACTTTTAATTGGAATCACGCTGTTTTGGTATGTTTTGTGATGCATTTTGTATATGGCCAGGCCATTCCTCCCACCTGCTCTTTCATAGCCAGTGGAGCTAATTATATGCCGCACAAGCCAAAGATGAAGATAGCAGAGACAAAAGTGACAAGGAAAGGGTGAGCTGCAGGTCTTAATGGATAGAGAGCAAAGTCACCCCCTTCAGGAGAAATCACATTCATGTCTAAGTTGATAAGATCATTTGTGCTTCCCAGACTAGCATTTTTAAAGCATATTTATTCATTTGCTTGTTTGTTTGTTTGCTTATTCATTTATTTATTTTCTCTATTGAATAAATGCACCAGGCACAAGTTTCCCCTTGCTGTAGCTTTGTAAATTATACAGAAACACAAACATTTATAGTCACCAATGCTATATTTGAGTGAATTTGGGCCAAAATGTTTTTAATATTTCCCTTTTTTACACTCGTTCTCCTCATTTGGTTCCCAATTTGGTCAAACCCCCCAAAGTTAATAATAAATAATAATAAATTCCTTAGACTGTATGACTTGTGGAAACTGATTTGATATGAAATCCTAAATGGTAAGTCTGTGACTATTTTGAGAAGGAATGTGCTTTTGAATATTTGCAAACATTATTTTTCGTCGTGGAAATTTACTTTTAGTTATTTGTTTCTAATAACAAACTAGTAGGACTGTTCTCAAAAATTTAAAAGGTGAATGTTCCACTCAAATGAAAAACCTTATTAAACATTTAAAATAAATCATTTTTAGTCACATTTACTTTGAAGTGTATAAACCTGGCAGCTTTTCACTCTCTGTCCTCCATCTGCTCCTCCAGGTGGGTGATTCTGACCCTCACCTGGTTTCTGGCTGCGGGGCTGAAGTGGGGTCATGAGGCGATTGAAATGCACAGTTCCTACTTCCACATAGCAGCTTGGGCCATCCCTGCTGTTAAAACCATCGTCATCCTCATCATGAGGCTGGTGGATGCGGATGACTTGACGGGGCTGTGCTACGTTGGGAACCAACAACAGGAGGCGCTCACGGGCTTTGTGGTGGCACCACTAGCCACCTACCTTCTCATAGGTAAATACAAACTTTTCCTCGGTATAATCCTTTAAAGCAGTGGTTCCCAGCCTTTTTCCCAAGGGGCCCCTTTTTTTACCAGTAAAATTTTTGACGTCCCCCTCCCATCCTCTCTTCCAGTACAAACAATATTAAGTAATGATAAAATTGTTCAAGCACATTTTAATATGCTTTGATTCAATAGATAACAGTAATAGTAGGCTCCAGTACAGAACAAAGTCATTAACAAAACCAAACAGAGCATAATGTGCTTGACAGTTTGTATTACTTTTCTGAACACATTGTTTCTTGTAAACACTGATAAATCAATCATTCCTTTCAATAAACGTTTGACACATAAAAAATACACTGAGCAAAATGTACTTAAATGTGTATATTACTGTTTATACTAGATTATTTACTGTAAAGGCTGTGATTAATCAACCAGTCCTATCTTTAATGAACTTTTGACACTTGAAAATAAAACAGTGAGCTGAGCAAAATGTTCTTAACAGTGTCTTACTTTTTCTGTACTAATTATTTCCTGTCTTAATATCAGTAAACTTTTCACTCATGAAAAAAAATGTGAGAAAAATGTAGGCTATAAACAAGTAATTAATGACGTTTTAACCCCTTAAAGTGGAGAGGTCCTGGCGACCCACTGAGAGGCTTTGGCGCCCCCTTGTGGGGGTCGGGACCCCCAGGTTAGGAACCACTGCTTTAAAGCAACACCACATAAGTTGCCCCTCCCACTGGTTGAAAGCGGAATTACAACTGCCGTAAACAACCCTACTGTAGACAGCGCTAACAACAAGCTACTGCTAACACGAGCCAACTGATACTAAGTAATCCACAAAATAAAAAGATCCACGAATCCAGTAGCAACAAAGCCAGGTCACCATCAGTCCATGATTTTGTAGCCTCCTTAAGCTTCCTCAAACTAGCGTAGGCCGCATCGATGTTCCCTCCGATTTTAGCTCATTGCTTCACCTCCAAAGACATTACTCTCTTACTTTTACTTTCAGGCTGTGCTATGATGCCATCAAAAAAAGCACAATTCTTCATCTTGTTGTGCGTTTTACTGACAACTGAAAAAGCTAACAATCATTTTTATGAGCTAGTGGTACAGTAAATACTAAATAGCACCCTCTAGTGTTCCTTTTCAAAACATAAAACTGTGAAATGCAGCTTCTGGTCAGTAGAGTGCTGTCTAATGTAAAGTTGCTGAAGTTAATGGCTCAAAAACCACTGAAACCAGTTTGAAAACAATAGCCTAAAGTGTTCAAACTCTCTAGAGATGCTTTAAAACAGCATTTCTGAATAACTGGCTCTATGTGTTTTTTTTCCCTCAGGAACTCTCTTCATCTGTGCGGGCCTTGTCGCCCTTTTCAAGATCCGCTCCAATCTGCAAAAAGACGGAGCCAAAACCGACAAACTGGAACGTTTAATGGTAAAGATCGGAGTTTTTTCCGTTCTTTACACCGTTCCGGCATCCACTGTCATCGGCTGTTACCTCTACCAGCTCTCCCACTGGGGAGAGTTCAGGGCCAGCACCCAGGACTCATACGTGGCATCAGAGATGCTGCGAATCTTCATGTCGTTGCTCGTGGGCATCACGTCAGGGATGTGGATCTGGTCGGCAAAAACCCTCCATACCTGGCAGCGCTGCTCCACCCGGCTTCTGAGAGACAGCCAGGCGAGCCGAGGAGGAAAGAGGGCACCTGGCGAGGGCTGGATAAAACCCGGGAAAGGCAACGAGACGGTGGTGTGAGGAGTAAGTCAGAGGAACGGACGGACAGAAATTAAATTCTGCATTCTTCTCAAACAGAGACTGGCTCTGCCAAATGAAGGATGAGAAGGGGTTTATGTATGTGTCAGCAGGACTTTGTTAAAGAAGCCACTCATCACATGAAATCCCTGATAATCCCTGAGTCTGTGCCTCCTTTGGAGGCCATGAAGGAGAAAACAGGAACATGGAGTCGTGCAGTTCTGGCAACAGAAGACTCTACCTCTGTTAGATCTAAGTTGACCAGAGAGGTGGAAAAAAATACAGAAAAGGGCTCAACAGGGCGTCATCGTAGCATGGATGAATGAGCTGTAAATCAGTACCTCTTTGCCTTTTTCTCCAAAGTTCTGAGCAGAAAAGACGAAATCTGCTGAATGCAGTAAACCTGAATGTCGTCGTAAAGTTTTAGATTTTACACTGGAGCAGATTTGGAGCACCCAGAAGTACCTTTTTGCAGTGAAATCAATTATTAATATAAAGAAAAGCCAAAATAAGTGTAATTAAAAAACAATAATCTGAAAAGTTGCCTTAAATCTTCGATTTGTTTGCATTCAAACAAACCTCCAGTAAAAGTACAGGTGGTGGCGTCGCTCTGAATTTTAGGGAAACCAGCTCTAAGCTGCACTACTGCACTATAAATGCATAATATGTGAAGTCTGATAACAAATGTGCAGACATGTGCACAGAGCCATGAACAGGGGAAGCTTGGTGAGTCATGAAAAATGCTGCAAAAAAATGCTAATCCAGCACATATTCTTCAGTTTTTATTATTATTTTTTTTGTCTTTTGGGTTAGGAAGTGTCACGGTGTCTGGAAACGAGACTCTGTGAGAGACCCAGCGAACGTCCTGGCCTCTCTGGGAACCCTGTTGCTGTACACGCTCTTGGGTTACCATAAAATCCAGGAAATTTAATTATTAACCCTGCTCTTTTCCAAACACTGGGTCCGAGGCAGGTTTAAGGATGAGAAGTTATGGGACAGTCCGGTGCCAAAACACACATTATGCAACCCAGAGGCTGTCGCAGAAGTGTGCGTTTTCGTGCACGCACGTACGACGCTGTGCATGAAAACTCCTTTTTTAGAAGAAGTGGGGTTGGGTTTTAAACGAATTTTCCCAAACGCACCAAGGCTCATTTCTCAGACAATCAAGTCCACCCTGGAGTTTATTTTTGTTCATTTCATGGATGACAGAAGCAGGATTTTTAATGGCAAAAGGCTTTTCCGATGATTGTAATCTTGCAGTTCCCTGCAACAACTGTAAGCTTTAAGTCCAACGGGTTGGTGGTAGGGACTCTTCCTGTCCTTCACCCTTTGAAAGTTTTGTGTTTTTTGCCTGACAATCTGTAGCGACGCAATTTAATGAGCTTTTGTCTGTATATATATGATGGGTGTAAAATGATCTCTATTTTGGTAATTGAAGTCTATCAGTTTGGATCTTTGTAAGCAGACAGCGCCTCGCACAACCTGTACATCATTCTTGGCAAATTTTACGCTGAAATTGAATTTTAAGAATCGTTTTTGGGCTCCGTGCATCAAGAGATGTATGTTCTTGTGAAACTGAGACAGCTCATGATAAAGCAGCATACCTCAGAACACTTATTAAATTTCCAAAGTCAAACTAACGTTACATTCGCTTGAAGTGAATTGAATTACCCTCTGACCACCTCCCCTCTGAGTGTTTTGGCCGGACCCCTCCCTCATGACCACATCCAGCTAGAAGGTGAAATTTCTAAACAATCGCAGAACGTGCTTCAAAACGCGAGTGAGAACGTGTGAAACGACTTTAACCACTAGTCATGCAGGTTAGTTCAAGTCTTGTAGAGACCCAGATGTGAATCTGAGGTCCTAACGTCACAGACCAGGAGGTCGAGGCTGCTCAGTTTCTTTATCCTTTCGCGAGGTTCGCTACAAAGAAAACCTGCTAATTCATCCTTGTAAAAATGTGACAATTTTTAAAATGTGTTTATTTAAAAAAGACTTTTGTATCAGAAGATAAATAAAAACTTTTTTGGATTACAGTTTGTAAAATTACCCGTGTGTGTGTGTGTATTACTTATATTGTGTCAAAACTGAGTTAGAGCCGTTACAGGTATATTTTTAACTGCGCAAAAGGCATAAGAAAATAAAAAAGCATTCTTTTAGGGCTTTCACATGTGACAACCTTAAAGTCATAACTTGTCAAGTGTTGGTTTGTGGGCCAATCAGCTTTCTAGTGTGTTGGACAATGCTGCCACCTCTTGACCAGAAAGACAATTTCCGTCGTGGTTCCTCATTAGGCAGAGTGCATTTGAAGAACTTTTTACACTCTCATAAGCCTGCTAATGCAGAAGATCACAGCTGCAATTGTGCTCAGTTAACTTGTTTTACAATTAGAGTTGACACGGTTGCTTTAAATGACAGAAACACTGAATAAGCTCTAAATTTGCCATGAATCCACAAAGCAAACAAGATAATGATGATGTTCAAACTGCAGCTAGCAAACCGCATAAAAACACACAAATATCTGCAGCATTCACATACACAGTGTGTGTGTGTGTGTGTGTGTGTGTGTGTGTGTGTGTGTGTGTGTGTGTCAGCAAACAAGATGAGACAGTGAGTCCAGATATGTGAGTGTGCAGCTCCGATTGCCTTCCTGTAATTTACTGAGTGAACTGAGTGTTTGTTTAAGAGCACGCTCAAAAATCCTGAAGTAAAGGGAAAGTGACAGCGTCTACTACTCTATAGTTTCCAGATGTGGCTCTGCTGACACACACACACACACACACACACACACACACACACACACACACACACACACACACACACACACACACACACACACACACACACACACACACAATAAACTAACCTTCAAATTTTGGGAAGTTTTTCCAATGAATGCCACGGGTCTTTAATCTCCAGGCTTTTCTATCTGGGCAACCATTTCTACATTTCTGTGGTTTATTTAGAGGCAATCTCTCTCTCTCTCTCTCTCTCTCTCTCTCTCTCCCTCTCTCTCTCTCTCTCTCTCTTTCACACACACACACACACACACACACACACACACACACACACACACACACACACACACACACACGTACGCATGCACGCACGCACGCACACACACACACACACACACACTTACTGGTGCTTTTCCAGCTATAAAAAATGCTAATGTACCTTCTTAACACACTCAGAGAATGTCAGATTTACTACAAAACCTCTAAAAATTCTCCTTTCTGATGACATTTAGACAACACCAGTTTAAACTGTGTAAACACCAAATAACCGTTCTGATTATTTGGGCCACTATTGTTTCAAGCTGAATTATTGTGAGTTCTGAATAATTTTCATTGGAGTGACATTTTATAGGAGCTAGTTTTCAGAGAAGGGAAGAAAAGAAAGAAAAAATGGGAGAGAGTGAAATATTAAAGAAGTAAGAGGAAAAGTAGTCAAACTACAGTGAAGAAAGCCAAGAGGGGAAAAAAATAAAATGAACTCAGTCATCATCCAGCAGCTGGATGGTGCAGCTGTTCCCCTTCAGAAATGTTGAAATCTCCTTTTCCCCTCTCTCCATTCTGCCTGAGTTACATGGATATTTTGGAGTAATGGCTACCACTGGGGATTCTGGGTGACGTAGTTGTCTTGGCCTAAAAATCTCATTTGCTGCATTTGGAGATATTGGTTCTCAGGCCAAACATGTTAACGAGCTGAGACTGGACTGCAAACGCTTGTCCAGGAGAGAGATTAGAGAATTGTTCACCGTTCAGTTAAAACAAAGGGCTCTTTATGCTCTTCGGGGCATGTGAACGATTACATAAACACACTTAGAAGGTCAAGTCAGATATTTGAACATGTTTGGAGACGTTTGGATGCAGAAGGTGGTGGATGATCCGTTAAACAGTTAGGAGAGTTTTTTGTATCTCTAAATAAACCTGGATGTGGATACAGATATATCTTCAAACTCTAATAAAAAACCTTCAGATTAAAAGCCATCCAACAGTAGTTCAGTGTGAATTGAAACAATGTTTTACATTTACATTTTCACCACTAGATGGCACTCTTCGTTCGTTCGTTCGTTTATTTCATTCAATCAATCAAATAAAAGTTACATTAAAACAATTCACGTTCACAAATAACCATAAATGAAAAGGAGCAGAAAGAAGCAACACTTATAATATCTGCCCCCTTTTCACATCAAGACATTAGCTGTTCAACTCAAAGAATTTCGTTCATCTACCCCCCACCCCAACACGAACAAGTCAATCAGCCTAAGGTCTTATTACTTTATCATGATACGTTTCACATTTTTTAATACAGAAAAGTGATTTAGACAGTTTTATTTCACTGTTGGGTCTATTCCATAAATAGACACCTTTAACTGAGATACATCTTTCCATTATCACTGTTCGGAATTTAGTTTTTTTTTTTAAATATCAGTTCCTTTTAGATTAGAATTACTTTCTCTTTTTACAAATTTTTTGAATATTTATTGGTAGAATTCCTTTATGTGCTTTGTACATAAGTTTTAATAAATTATATTCTACTAGTTTATCAAATTTCATTAGGTCTAGTTGTGAAAACATCGGATCAGTATGATCCCATGTATCCACTTCCACTAATAACTCTCACTGCTCTTTTCTGTAAAAGAAAAATTGAATGCGTATATGTTTTGCAGGCACTTCCCCTTACTTCGAAACAATATGTCAGATATGGAAGAATTAATGAGTTATACAGAAAATACAAAGCTTTTATGTTCAACAACTCCTTCGTCTAATTTAGTACTGAAATAGCTCAAGATAGTTTAATTTTAATATAATTTATGTGAGACTTCCACGATAAATGTTCGTCAATAATAACACTTAAAAACTTAACTTCTTTTACTCTTTCTATCTCAATTCCTTCAACATTTATTGATGCATGAGCACTTTTTTTTACTACTACAAAAAACTATAAACTTAGTTTTATCAATATTTAAAGAAAGCCTGTTGCTAACAAACCACATTTTAATTTTTGTAAATTCATTTTCAACTACATTTAAAACATCTTTTATATTTTCTCTTGAATAAAATAAGGTAGTGTCATCTGCAAATAGTATGCACTTGAATCATTTTGAAACCATAGCAATATCATCATAAAAGAAAGAGTAATGGTCCAAAGACTGATCCTTGTGGTACTCCACAACTAATATTATGTATAGAGGATTTTATATTATTGATTTCCACAAACTGTTGTCGGTTCGTCAAATAACTTTGGACCCACTCATGTGCTACTCCTCTAATCCCATATTTGTATAATTTATCTAATAATATTACATGATCCAGCGTATCAAACGCTTTTTGTAAATCTACAAAAATATTCCCCAAATATTGTTCAAGACAACTCACTTGAAGCAAACTTGAAACCAACTTAATTTGTGGTTTTATGTGTTTTCATATCATGTCCTGATAATCGTAAAGCACATTGAATTAAGTGTTTAAAACGTGCTCTATAAATAAATCTGCCTTGCCTTGCCTAAATGGAGATTTGTGTTTTTTGTAAAATAGGAGGTTATGGTTCAGCATTGCTGCTCCTCTTTATGCATTCATGCCACCACTTGTTCAATAAACGTGTCGTTCTTCTTCTCCTACTAAAAGAACCTTTCAGCATAAATAAAGTTTAGCTTCATGTTTATTAAAGTTGTAAGTTGGGTTTTATTTCAACAGTTTTCTGTGATAAAGTTTAAAACAGTCAGCACCTGTTGTGGACAGCTACTGGAATGACGGCAGTTTGGAGAAACAGAGATGAGTTCTGACCAATCAGATGAGCTAATGGCTCACCTGAGAGGTTTAAAAAGTGTTTCTGCTGTCTTAACTCATCCACTGCCAGCCGTTTTCTGATCAGAAAAGCCCTTCGCTGCCAGCGTTTTTCAGCGTTTTCATTGTTTTCTTAAGAGTCACAGAACGTTGCACTTTAGGATGATGTCAGCACCAAAACTACCAAAACAAAGAATAGACTCAGCTCTTACATCAGGAAGAATCCATGCGTTTCGAGCATTATCCGTTCTTTCATAATCTGTTGTTGAATTGTGTTCGGCAGAAGCTTTTCCGGTTTACGCCTCACTTTTTTTCAGCAGCGGCCGAAAACGATCTCCTAACACGTGGATTTTCTGCTTTCTGGTACGTGTGTGATATACGCGGATGAAGATCAGCTTTAGAGCTGGGATGTTTGTTCTCACGGTGCGGGGACTCGTCCCGACACCCATACAGTAAAAAAAATGCAAATGACGACTTTAGTCGTCAGTGGCAGTGAATGAGTTAATATAACCATTTCATAGCAAATTTCATAGCAGCGTCTATAAATGTCCCCTTAATATTTTGTTCACTGTCATTCATTTTATTTACATGGTCATTCACATAGATTTTGTGGTTATATGAAAGAAAACTTACCTGAAAGATGCTGGAGCGATTCTAGATGGAATTTCATCAAATTTCACACAAACCCACAAAATGTTAAATTTATGACAATGCACAAGCAGTGTGCCTGAACGAGTTCACTGAATGACCGTTCGTGAAATTGTCCTTTTTTTTGTGAACATGAACTGAATTTGCTTTTATTTGCCTCTGTTACAACCCCTGCTACTGGAAGAAAACAAGGACCCATCCTCTTAGGGGACTGCTGTGCCAGTGCAACCAGCTGATTGGCTGCTTCAGATGTTTCTGCCGATGCCCTTCTGCTTTATTATTGGTGTGGCTGTGTGCAGCCTGGATTTTATGAGTGGCTGCACCTGTGCAGCCAAAACAGGCTGCCAAGTGCAAGTTGGAGAGACTCAGGAGGATCAGGAATTGAGGCTGATCAGAGGGAGCACCTTTGGTAGCTCTTGCCTGTGAGGCATTTTTGGTGAGGCCTTTTAGAGGCTTGGTTTTAGTAAAAAAAACTATACTCTTAAACATTAACCTTGTGTCCTGACCTCCTCCTTTTGTTGCAGTCCCACGAGCCGGGCTGTAACAAATGGGGGCTCGTCCTGGATAATATGGACTTTTTGGAGGAGGATGGACCTGGTGTTTTAATTG